TTAAAGTTGCGGTTTTTTTCTGTACAAGTTCATAAGACCCCCAACCCCCACCCCCCGCAGCCAAATTCTATTCCTTTGGAGTAGGTGGATGTGAGGTTAAGGACCCATCACTTGTAAGGCATTTTATTGCTTTTTTGAAAAAAAGATTTATTTATTTATACAAGAACTAGGGTACAGGTCAGAGGTGCGGGAGGGTGAGAGAATTCACCAGAGACAGAGCGGGGAGCAGAACAGGCAGATGGACCAAAGACACTGCCGAGGAGAGCAGTGGGCGAGGCAGGAGAGGTCTGCCACTCCATGTGGGTTTCTCTCTGGCTGGCCAGGAATTGAACCCACACTGCAGAGGCTGCAGACAGCTTCACAGCGCGGCGTTCAACCCGCTGCGCCACCGGGGAGGCCCACTTGTAAGGTATTTTATACAGAGCCTGGCACACTTGGCAAGTGTTCACCAGGACTGGCTGGTTCCAGACCCCAAGCACGACTGGGCGTCACGTTCCAGCTACAGGCCACTAGGAGTCATCTAGGGGGTGGTTTGAGCAGCCCCAACCCCATGTGTCTTAGGAAGCGATGTGGGTCAAGCTAGGCCTCTGCTTGAGGGAGGGAGGTCCTTAAAGCTAATCCAGAGCTTAGGGCTAGAAGAAGGTTAAGCCCCAGTTAGAGCTGCACTCAGCTGTATGAGCTCCAAACAAGCTGTGTCCTTCCTTCCATGCCTCATCTGTGTCCTCATATACTTCAAATCCTGCCTCCCGACTGCTCCGCTTTGGTGGTTATTGGCATCTCAACCTTACGCCCAAAGGCAATTCTATTCCACCAAGCCAGTTGCTCCTTCCATCTTCCCCATGTCAGTAAATGGCATGGCAAATCCTTCGCCCAGATGCTCAGAAACAAAAAAATTTAGGGTTCTGGATTCCTCTCTTTCCCCACTCTTACTTTCAACCCATCAGCCGGGCCTGTCCACCCTCACTCCCAAACACACCGCCTTCCTCCATGTCTGCTGTCACCATGCTGTCTTCGCTTCTTCCCTGGGCTCTACGACTTCTGCACTTGCCATCCTACCCCGTGTGCAAGACTCTCCTATTGTCTTTAAAATGAAATCCAAACATCTGCAACTGCAGAGGCCCTCACCTACCTTGCTGGAATCCTCTCCAGCACTTTCTGCACTTCATGCCCCCCACACGCTGGTGTCTTTACATGGGAGCTCCAAAGCTGGTCGGTTCAGGGCCTTTGCACAAGCTGTCTCTGCACAGCTTGCTCTTTCCTAACACAGACTAAATGTCACCTCTTCAGAAGCCTTCCCTGACCACTCACTCGAAAGTGGCCATCCCTCCCCCCGACACACACCATCTCCATCACTGCTGGGTCTTAATTTCTTCATGACACATTCTGTTCCTATATTTGCTATCTGTCCACCCCCAGTAGAATGGAAGCTCCACATTGCTGCAGCTAATCTGTCCTGCTTCCTACCATATCCGGGCGCATAGTAGGTACTCATTAAATTTTAATGAATGAGCTTATTTTGTGCGGGAAAATGGGCTGAGCTCATGATTGTACATTGTCACTTAATTCTCACAGCTAATATTTCCATTTTACAGAAGAGGAAGTTGAGGAGGCCCTGTGAGTTTCCATAGATGGTTGAGGGCTATCTGACCTCAAAGCCACATTCTTAATCACCCTATTGTACTGTTTCCCCAAAATTACCCCTTCTCTCTTCTCTACCCCCTCCAAAAATCATCCCCAAACAAAAGACAAGGGAATGATTATATAGAAAGAAGCAGAGGGGTTAGACCAAAGCACCCAGTTCTCACGACACTGTGACGCCCTTGGGGACAAGCCGTGGGGTGCTGGCCGACAGGGTTGTGGCCCCCACACCTGGACTCACATTGACCTGCAGCGCCCTGGAAACTCCCCACGGCTCCTTTCTCCTACACGGCCTATAATCTCCAGATCAGGTGTCCAGGCGAGGAATCTCGCCTGCTTAGGAAATTCCCCAGTCAACACAGGAGCAGAGGGGGGAACCTGACTGAGAGGCTGGAGGTCTGGAAATGAGAACCACAGAACACAGAGGGGGAAAAGAACTCCCTTGGCTTTAATCAAATGAGAGCTGCAGATACCTGGCTGGTTAGGTCCTCCTTCATCTCCGCTTTACAGATGAGGCTGGCAAGGTGTGCTCACCTCCCTTAGAGACCCCCATTTGAAATCAGTGGTGGAGTTGGGATGGGAACCTGGGAAATCTGATTCTTTCAGGGTGACACTAAATCACTTTGCTAGAATAAGAACAAAACCCTTTTTGCTTCAGAGCCGCTCCAAAGGAGGCACAGGTGCCAGAGTCACAGGACAGCAAAGTAGAAGGGCCCCCTTGCACAGAACTGGCTCTACACTCCTATGTTCCAGGGGAAGAAACTGAGGTTCAGGGCAGGGTTTCTGATTGCACCAGGCTGCCTCTGCTGAGCTTGGATGGCCCTGGACACAGCCGGTTGCACAGGTGGCACAAATCAGGGGCCCCGGACCCTCCACCCAGCACTCCCCACCCCACCCAGGAGCCACTCCAGGACCGCACGCCGGTGACTGCATTCCAATCTGGTTACAGCAGCAAGGGCAGGTGCCACGCAGACAACGTTCCCTTGGTGGCGGGCAGGCGGGCGGCAGCTGTTGTGCGGAAGCCGGCCTTAAACAGAACTCCCTGTTCCAATTTAGCCCTGTTGCCATGCGCTGGGCCAACGGCCGCCCTATAGAGGGCAGAGAAGAATCCATGGCCCACTACTCTGAATGCAAAGGCAACAGAGACAGAAAAGACAAAATAAGCAACTGCCCTTTAGAGCAAACACATCCCTTTGCCATTTCACAGCTTAAAGAACTTGGCCTGTATGTGTGCGGGAGCAGCGCGCATGCCCGTGCCTTGCCTGCCCAGGTGTCAGTTCCCCTATATAGATATACGAGAATCAAACCAGCCATTAACGCCCTTCGTGGCCTTAACATCGCTAGTACTATGAAATCCGGATGAGCTGAAGCCTTTTTCAGGCATTAAAGCATCTACAATACCACCAGCCAGCCTGTCGGTGCGCCCTTCCCCCAGATCTCACAGCTCCTCGTTTTCCTCTAACAGAGGCTGACTCGTGACCCTTCCTTGATAGCTCATCAGGGTTTGGGGGACGTTTTCTCTAAAGGGCCTGACGGTAAACAGTGTAGGCACAGTGCTACGGTTATGGTGAACAAGGAGCCGTGGATAGCACATAAACAAATGGGTGTGGCTGCTCCCAATAAAACTTGATTTATAAGAACAGACAGCTGACAGATTTGGTCCTGGGGCCTTATTGGCTCTGGGATCATCTCCGTCTTCACCACCACCCCCTTTAGTAGCTGCTGGCACACAGCCTGCTACCCAGCCCCCGACCCTGCCTGCAGACACTGGGGTCTCCTGCCCTTCCCAGCCTCTTCCCAGAAGTGAGGTTCTGGTGCAGGCATCTGTCTCTAGCTGCGTCTCAAAAAGTTCTAGTCCTCTCTGCTGAGGTCCTTCTTCTAATCTGCCTCAAACTGGTCAACCAGATGCCCAAGCTGAATGCCACATCTAAAAAGCCACCATCAGTGGGCTCTGAAGAAGCTTGTCTAGATCCCAGAAGGTGGAGGCTGCTGGATGAGAAGTCCACAGGCTTGAGGAAACCGAGGTGCGATCTGTCCTCCCCACTGGTATTTGTTGCATGGATGCCACATGAGGCAGGGCAAGACGGGCTCTGAGCAATGGTCAACTAACGTGGTTACTCACAGCTCACTGGGATGCTGGGAAGACACAGGATGCTCATAGGAGCCAACTTCCTTCTGTCTTTCCCCTGGGACTTGAGAGAACCAGTTCTCCCTTCTGATAGGAAAACTTCTATGAGTCAGGGGCTCCTCCTGACAGGCAGAAACCACTCCTGTGGTCAAGAAGGGTGGTCATTTCTACCAACCAGTTCTCAGGCAGTCACAGAGAACACTGCAGACCACAGTGGCTGCTGAGAAGGAGATCCACCAGACGGGCAGCCCCAAGAGGCGGGAGGTCCAGATGGACAAGAGCAAGTCTACCCCAAACCCAGCAACCTGGGTTCTTCCTACCTCGACCTGAGGGAGGCCGTGGGTGCTGTCATATTAGCTGCACATGTCTTCACGTCTTCAGGGATCATTTTATACATGAACTTTTTCTGGGGGCCCCAAGGACAGATATAAGACACCAATAGTGGAAGTCTATTTTCTTCCTTATGCAGAAGAATGGTCTAGCAAAGGCAGTGATTTCCTCTCTGCTGGGACTGATACAGAGGCTGGCCGTGCAAATGCAATGGTGACTCAAGCACCCAAGAATGCAGGCTCCTTCAATTAGTTAATATGATCGTGTATCAGGTTTGTGTTCTGCTGCTGCTTTTCCTTCATCAGCATGTTCTTTAAACCACACAACAGTCCTCAAGGTAGAAATGAGTGTCATCCCACTTTGCTGATGAGAAAACTCAAAAAGGGGTATCAGAAGCAAAAGCATGGGTCAGTCAGGATGATAATGATGAGACTTCCCAGTGCCTGAGTCTCCAGAAACTCATACTCCTCAAGTGACATTCAGAATTCAAATCTCGGCCCACTCTATCCCAAAGGTAGAATGAATTCATTCTGGGAGGTGATTTTGGTTGTTCTTCATTCCCTCCAGGAAGATGCCAGGGGAGATGTTGGAGGACCCTCAAAAAAAAAAAGACTTTGCCTTTCCCTTCCTTTCTAAAGGATCAAAAGTCCCCTTCAGGAGACTAGGAAAAACCCTGCTGGTTTCTGAAAGTACTCTCCTTGCCCGGTCTGTTTGCTAATAATTCCCATTTTACAGCCTCACGCCCTGTCCCTCCCCGCCCTTCAATCCAAACACCCAGGTAACAGTCTAGCCTCAGGACCTCATACCTGTATCTACAGTTCCTCCTCCACCACACATTGCTCCACCTTCCCTGCTGGGCAACTTTATTCTCTGCACCACGTAATCAAGGCCCCACCCTCCCAAGTCTTGCCAGGGACACCCACAGGGAGGCTTGGAGACCAAGGCCAGAGTCTCTGGGTCACGGGTGCTCATTCATTCTATATTTGAGTGACTGAAACTTTTATAGATGTATCCTTTTGTATTTACACAGAATAGCCACAAAGCACCAGCACAGAGGCCTTCATTATCTTCATCTGTACAAAGCTGTAAAAGGGGACAGGAGGCCGTCGGACCCAGTCCAGTCAGACAGTCCAGTGGGCCTTCTGGTGAGGTTCTGTCCACAGAAGGGAGAAAAGGAGTCCAGCTCTAATATTCTCTAATTATCACCCATTCTGCAGAAATTGACCTTTGCTATAAAAGACTAGTGTCTCCAGGCCAAGAAAAGCACAGAACCACGGCAGTAAAGGAGGCTTTGCACCGGATTGATCTGTGGGCCCCAATCCAGGGCAGCCACACCGCAGGGCCTTTGCATACCTCCAGGGAAGGGGTTCACACAGAAGCAGAGCATCACTTTCTAGAAACTCCTAAGCAGGAGCATTGACATCTAGCAGTTTTCTGTTTCTTCAAAAATGGATGTACAGGGAGGGTAGCTGAGAAAGGGGAGAAAAGAAGAAGCCTAACAAGATCAAATAATACTCTTTTTAAATTGAGGTATGACATATTAGCTTCAGGTGATCAACAGTGATTTTATACACACACACACACATATATGTATATGTATATTGCAAAATGATCAGCACAATAAGTCTAGTTAATATTCACCACCACACATATAGTTATGTTTTTTTCCTGTGATTAGAACTTTTGAGATCTACTCTCTTAGCCACTTTCAAAACAGTATGGCAGTGTTAACTACAGTCACCAAGCTGCACATTATGTCCCCTGGATTATTAATTTTATAACTACAAGTCTGTACTTTTGGATTCTGGGGGTGGGCGACATAGGTGACAGTGGTCAAAGGATGTGAAGAGACTTCAGTATTTCAGTATTTCTCAAGGTTAGGGCCTCTGACCACCTGCTTCGGAATTCTCTGGGGCCTGTGCCAGATGCCCTGTGTCAACTTAGGAGGGAGACCGAGGAACCTACATTTTCACCCCTGGAGTGACAAAGTACTCATTACCGCCCACTGTCCAGATTCCTGGCCCAGTCTAGGTATCTGGATGGCTCACACCATCTGCATGGATCACCAGGTCCCATTTCACAGAGGCAGGGCCACCGTGACCCACTCTCGGCAGAGAGAATTGCCCAGAGTAACTGAACAAAAGAAAATCATCAATGAGCATATTCATCTTTTTGCTTATTTCATCCGCAAAACAAAGTCCCAAAACAAGGATGCTAGCGTACTCTCAGATGCCTCACCCTACAATCAGAATCTCTTCTGATTGTGCTCCTTTTATTTTCATTTTTTAAGCCTCAAAGGCCCCCAGGAAGCTCAGTCTGTACACCAGCTCACTCTGGGTTTGGCTGGTTTGGGGCCGTGGCAGCAGGGACAGAGCATGGCTGACTGCCCAGCTGTCTGCAGGGGAAGAGCTGGGGACACAAGCAGTGGTCCGGGCCAAGGCACACCCTAAGGGAGGTATATGCCCCAAGTTATGTCCCCCAAGTCTGAGGATTTGGGGAGGTGGAGCATGGCTTCCGCCTGAGAATGGAGAATTTGCTCAGAGCTGAAGGAGGCATCACAATAAATGATGCTGCAGAAAGGCCCAAGTCCTTTGCCTAGTCCTGAGAAATGCTGCTCTGCCCATTTTAACCCCTGCATCCCTGCCACCCATACTGAATATTTCATACGTTACCAAGCACATCCCTTACATTATCAACTTACTCCCCACACTTAGGTATGATTATTACCCCAATTTAAGATGAGGACACCACGGTTCAGCGAGGTTAGGTAACTTGCCCAAGATCACCCAGCTAGAAGATGAACCCCACCAGTAAAATCTCAAGTCACTTTTAGGGAAGGACCCACCTTGCATCTGCTTCTCTTTTGAGTCATGAGGTTGTCCTCATCTGTTCTGTTGATCCACAACTAAAGTGAAAGAGCTTAAAAAAAAAAAAGCACAGGAAACGGCTACCTCATGACACGATACACAAACCATCACTTTCAATGCCTTGGCCTATGGCAGACAGTGCTAATCAATCACAGGTCTCTTTCCTGCTGAGCAGAGCACAGCTTAGGAGACTCCAACACAGCACATTTGACAGTCATTACCAATAGATCACAGGTGGTAGATGATCAAACCCAACCCTTCCATTGCACAGACAGAATTGTCCATCCAAATTCAGGTTATTTCCATACTGAGTTATGATTGGGAAACAGAGTGCCTGAGGTCAGTACGCAGCACCACGAGTGTCCACCCCTCCTTCGCCAGATGCGTCTTATAGATTATAATGGCCCTGTGTGGTCAGCAGCATCCATCTTTCTCTACATCCAAGAAACTGCTCAACACAGATGCCATGCTTAGAGCCAGCCACAGCCTTTGCTTCATCACTGCCAAATCATGTCACCTATTGGTGGCAGCAGACATTCTTAGTGTTAGACACCAGCAGGTCTCCTCTGTGGGCAAAGGTATGGCAAATAGTTACTAATCACATTTCAAATCCCAACTTAGAGAATAATTTGGTTTTTTTTTTTTTTTTTTAAGATTTTTATTTATTTATTTATACAAGCACTGGGTACAGTCAGAAGCGTGGGAGGGTGAGAGAATTCACCAGAGCCAGAGCAGGGAACAGAACAGGCAGACTGACTAAATACACTGCTGAGGGGAGCAGCGGGCGGGGCAGGAGAGGTCTGCACGCGATGTGGGACCCTCACTGGTGGCCGGGGATCAAACCGGAGCTGCAGAGGCTGCGGGCAGCTTCGCAGCCCAGCACTCAACTGCTGTGCCACCAGGGGAGGCCCATAATTTGGTTTTTAAATGTAAACAGCAGTTCAATGGGCAGGAGGGGCTTCCATCCCTCCACTACCTCTCTGGAGAACAGTATCTTCCCATTCAAGGTTTCATGGATCAGTCACATGAGCCCATGTACTTACTCGTGCTGCAGAGAGCCCCCAGTCTTAAGCAGGGAGTAATATTTCCCAGCCACCATGATTGACTCAGGGCTAACTCTGTGCCCCCAGTTCGAACAAGAACCAGCCCCAGGATGGTTAGCTGGTGCTACTGGAAAAGAATGCTTTCCTCCTATCGCAGTGGCTAAAAGCGCGAGAAGTTTTGTGGTCATCTTTTTCGACTAGAAAGAGTCTGTGTGAAAACGAAGGCCACACAAAGGAAAGTAGAACTGAGAAACAGAGCTCCTGGATCCAACTGAACCCACTTTTCTCTTATGGGACCCAATAAATTCCTTTTGGAATTGTATCAACTCTGTCACTAATAAGCGGCACTTAAACCAAAAAAATCCTATTCTGATGGGGATGGATAAAAAGCTTAAGCAGGTACATGTCCCATCTGGCTTCTCCTCCATGGTGCAGCCAGTAAACCGGGGTGCACAGAGGTATGAGCCTGAGTTCTCTAAGACGCATGATGGGGTGAGTCTCCCTCTGATGTCTTTTCCTACTGTAGGCATCTAATAAAACTGAGAAGGCCTGATCCAAAGGGGTTAATGCCCTGCTTCTTTTTTTTTTTTTTAAAGATTTATTTATTTATGGATACAAGGGGTACAGTCAGAAGCGTGGGAGGGTGAGAGAATTCACTAGGGACAGAGTGGGGAACAGAACAGGCAGACTGTCTGAAATACACTGCTGAGGGAAGCAGCGGGCGAGACAGGAGAGGTCTGCTGTGCCATGTGGGTAGCTCCCTGGCTGGGGATCGAACTCGTGCTGCAGTGGCTGCGGAAAGCTTCATAGGTTGCGCCTTAACCCCATGCGCCACCAGGAAGGCCCCTAATGCCCTGCTTCTGCAGTCTGGGAGAGGCTTCTGCTTCCACAGGCAGAAATTCATTGGTCCATTCATTCATTCGTTCATTCATTCATTCCACTGACATCCTCTCCACTTCAACCATCTGAATTCTGCTTCATCTTTTCTACTCCCCAAGACATTTCCCCCAACCACTCCAATATCCAGTTTCTGCAATCTGCAGTCTGCATGCAGCTGAGGTTTCACACAAAGCCACTGGAGACAGGGTTTCTGGAAAGCTTCTGAACATTGGCAACATCTTCCCATCAAGTAGGGGTGTCTCAGCACTTACCTAGAGTAAGTCTCAGCACTATCACCACATCTGCCTGGGTTCAATCCCCAGCTGGGAGCTACCCACATGGTGCAGCAGACCTCTCCTGTCTCACCTACTGCTCCCCTCAGCAGTGTATTTTAGTCAATCTGCCTGTTCTGCTCCCCACTCTGTCTTTGGTGAATTCTCTCGCCCCCTGCACCTCTTGTCTATACCCCAATTTTTCTACACACACAAAAAATTTTAAAAAGAGGGGGTCTCGGGCTCCAACCTCAGTTTGCCTTCACTCTGACCCATGCCTGGTCCAGACCCTTGAGCAGTTAAACCTCACAGATGAGGGAAGAGTCAATGAATGATTCTACTTCTGGTCTCATTTAATGCCAACCAGGCCCTGAAAGCCCCAGCACTAAATCCTAGAGGTCCCACAAAAACACTGGGTCCCCTTGCATGGCACCCTGAGACCAATAATCTTCCCCCTGTGAATGAACAAGGGGGACTGGAATCCAGAAGAGGCCGAGAGGACAAGACCAAATGGACAGCGGATGCTCTAGAAATCTTGGCATTAAAAGACACGGGAGAAAAATAATTTTTCTTAGTGATAAAGATTTATGAGTCATTTGAATTGCCACATTCCCTCGTCAGATCGTAAACTAAAAAGGAGGCGGCCCCACTTCTTGTGCACTTACCAAGTGTCAAGGACTGGGCTGTCCGGCTGGAGATGCCGCCCCTTCACAGGTAAGGAAACCAAGGTTCAGAGAGGGCCAAGATCACTTGGCCAACAGCGAACATAGTCAAGATTTAAACCTGGGCCTGTCTGACTGCAAAGTCCATGATGTTGGCCGTGCTGCCTTTTTCCTGCCTTACCTCTAAAACAACCGGGGCCTTTAGACAAGGGTATCTGGTCCAACCCTTTGCTGTACAGATTGGGAACTGAGGCCCCAAGGGAAGAGGTCTGCCTGGACCCCGTCCTCCTCCCGCCCTGAGAGAGGTCTCCTCTCCAGCCTCCTGAACCCTGACTATCAACACGGGAAACTCCCTGTCACCGGAGAGATAATCAACACTCCTTTTTCCGAACAGTTATTTCAGCATTAACTTGTGGCCAGGCGCTGATTTAGCACTGGGGATACAGCTGTGATAGAAAGACAGGGTCTCCACCATATCGTCAGGTGAGGGAGCCCCCAGATCAGTGCTCAGGTGATCAGAACACCAAGAGAAGTAGCTGAGAGAAGCCTAGTTGTCAGAAGAGGGGCAGGGGCCCCGGGAAGGGGAGGGGAAAGGCGAAGTCCTGATGGGCCTGATCGGGGGTAAGACTGGCCTTTGCCCTAAGATCATGGGGCTGCAGGATGGGGGTGGGGGGAGTTGTGGGGAACAGTGACAAGACGGAGCTGCACTCTGGCTGCCACGTGGACATGGGGACAGCATGGCAACTGGACACCCAATTAGGTAGCTGTCCTATAGGCCAATGCATGGGGCAGCCTCTGAGTGGAAAGAAGTAGTGAAGAGAAGCGGATAAACTGGGCATGGTATGATGTGTATCCTGGTTAGACTGAAAAGACTTGGCAATGGCTGGGCTATGGGGAGGAAGGAAGAAATGAAGGCGGGCTCCCTGGCCCAGGGCTGCAGCAAGCTGGGTGGGGAGGGTGGAGACAGGGCTGGGGATGGGGGTGAAATGCAAGAGAGCGCCACGCTGGACCTGCTGAGTGTGGGAGCCTGAGAGCAGGGGAGTGTGCAGTGAGCTTCAGGCAGGCAAGTCAGGGAGTCTGCCCCCGACCCTGCCCCTGGCCCAGGCCAGGTTGCTGTGTGCACGTGTGTATCAATACATGTGTGCATGTGTGTGAGGGGCCAGGGGTATAGACGTGGCTGGTGCCACACACTGTGTAAATTACAGAGCACACCCACATACCCCCTTGTCTGGTGCTCAGAGCATCTCTGTGAGTTGTCTCCATTTCACAGACAAATCTATAACCCAAGGAGTTCAGCGAGTTCCCCTTTCCCCCCAACGCTCTACTCTCCTTATAAACTGAGTTCCAACAGAACAAAATGGGGCAGATGTGCTGATGGGTCAGGACATGTTCCCTAATCCCCCAATGGCTGTGTGTCTCAATGGAAATTAACTAACTGCCTCCTGGGGTTGGGCGTGGTGGGAGGGAAAGAGATGTGTCCCAAGGGTGAGGAGGGCCTGGGTGGCAGCGGTGTCTTTCTCTCAACACTTATACCAGAACCAGGAGTTCAGGGCCCATTCGGTCAACCCTGCCCACTGGAACCATTGGTTGGACAATCCCCCCAGCTGCCTTCACACAAGCCCTTTCTTCCCTTCCTTTTTCAGCCCCCCTCCCCACCTCTGTCCCAGTAGGCATTTGGCAGCCCCTCAGAGGCCTGCTGGGAGTCAGGAGGGAATGTTGAGCATCTGGCCGGAGCCCAGCCCAGCCCTGTGGGTTCACATTAGGGCACCTGCTAATGTGCAGGACCCTGGGGCTGGCTGCTCTGGGATTGGCTGGCCAGGCCAGGCACTGGGCCATCCCAGCATCCAGGGCCGCATGACCCCAAATCCCAGCTATAAATAGAAGAGAACCTGTCAGCCCCCCATCCATACCCAGCCTCCCCTCCCACTTGGCCAAGAATGAAAGGGCGCCTTGAAATGGCACAGAGGCCCAGGGACCCTGCTCAGCTGCTCTGGATTCAACAGTTCTGCTGACCTCAGGGAAAATACTCCATCCTCGAGAAATCCAAGGATCTGTCAAATCCAGGCCCCACTCAGCCCACGTCTTGCTTCCTCCCCCAATGACTATCCTGGTGTCACTACTGCTTCCAGCCCCCAGATTTCTGAGTCACTTGGATTGCTCTTTAATATGCTGCCACCATCATGGCATTCATTAGGAGCCACTGCCTGGGGAGAAGGGGATGTGTATGCGTGAGCGTGTGTGTTAGGGATGCTGGTCTTGGCAGAATTATATTTAGCACTTCCATGTAGCTTTGAAGATGTGAGAACAACCCTCACCGCTTACCTATCCTAAAGGGAAAGGGCCTTCCTCAAGGTCACACAGTGAAGGAATGGCAGAGGCCAGGTCAGAGCTCACCTGCGCACTGCCCCCCGCCCCTGCTGATCACCAATCCCCCTTCTAGCCCACCACCACTTGTGATTTTGTTTATACAGTACCAACGCCCAGAATTCCTTTCTTGCTTCTCTCTGCTTCTTTTAGTCTCCCCCAGTTGGGTCTCCCCCTTTTAGCGCACTACCATCTTCACCACAAAGCCATCCCAGTCTAATTTAACTTAGCTCACAGCTGTGCCGACCCCCAGTCCCCGCCAACACATACAGTCCCCTAAGTGCACTTACTGAGTCACTGTTTGGCATTGACCAAGATGGCATTAATAATTTTTTTCCTTTATTTAGAGGAAGCAAGTAGAGTCTAACTCATAGAGCAAATCATAACAGTTAATCACAGCTGTCACCCTGTGGGTTAGGATTATGAGGCTACATCCAAGATCAGAGGCAGACGGTGCAATAATTGATTAGTGATGTCTGCCTTGCCCAGAGAAGATGTCAGCATTCCTGCCAGGTTTTACTAAAGCTACCCCTGCTTTAGTATTTACTCTTCATTCTGCTGTCCCCAAGGCTTAATTCCTTAAGGCAGAAGCTCAGCTATATAAATCAGTCGGCTTGAGGTGTGGGAATAGGGATTCCTCCCTCTCTCCCTGCCACCCAATGCCAGCATATTGGCAAGTAGACAACATAGAAGGAAAAAAATAATAATTATTCCTTGCTCATGTCTGTGGTTATACCACGCAAAATCACACAAATACCATTGCTAGCACCTCAACTAATCTGGACAATACATTTGACAGGCAGACAGGTCTTCTGTCTCCTTTTCACAAAAGAAAACTGAGTCACACGGGGGTTATGTCACTGTCCCAGAGTCATGCTCCAGGAACTGGAAGCTTAGGCCTCAACCCAGGTCACAGAACAGCAGCATCCAGAACCAGCTGGAATCATGCAGCCCAGTGCCTCAAAGGACAAAGGACGGTCAACCTGCCAGGTGCAGGTCCCACCTCCTCCCTCCTTCCCCCATGACTGGGAATTCCTCACCATTCAAGGCAGGCTAGCTCGTTCTGCTTGGGGGCCATTCTGGACACTTGGAAAGTCACTTCTTAGCCCAAACTGGGATCTGTCCCTGTGACCTCCCTTAGCCAGTGCACCCTCTCCCGTGTCTAATATACACAGGCAGCCTTCATGCTCTCCTCGGAACCCTGTTCCCCTGGTTGCCCATTTCTACAGCCTCTGCCATTTGGAATTACACCTGGTTTAGAGCTGCCTTATCTTCCTCTTTCCCTGAGAGTAGATCTTTTTGCTTACTGGTGACAGAGTAACAAAACCATCTCCTACCCAGTTCTGGACCTCAACTTCCATTAATATAGCCAAATGTTCAGAATGCATCGATTCTCTTTTGATAGTCACACTACACATCCACCATCCCCACATACCTTTTCTTGGCCAAGGATCTACAAAACTAGAATAACACACTGTCAGGGCCTTGGCGACCCCTAGTCACACCTCTCACTGCATAAACGAGAGAGGACAGTGTCTCAGGTTATAGGGCAAGACAGTGGAGAACCAGACTAGAAGCCAGATATTTTCTTGGGAACTCTGCCCACCAAACACTAGGTAATATTTAAACTGAAATTTGCACCCAATTCAAGACCAGGCAAGCCAAGCTGGGTCTCACTAAGGACTGCCAAAAGGTCAGGATGAGAATCTGAACCTGCAGCCCTGGAGCTACACTCAGCTCCTGCCCTCCCTAGTGTGCGGGATGCCAAGGCGCCAACCCCAATTGGCCCTGCTCCTGCCTCCCAGCTCCGCAGGGGGAGCAGGCTTTCTACTGCCAACCTCCAACTTGGGAACAGGTTCTTCTTCCTCCTCCCCACCCAGGATAAAGATCCTTTCACCTAGGTCTTCTTTCAGCTCTGGAGATAGGCAAAGTCACCAGCTTGCTGCTGGTCAGGGGGGTGTTATAAAAAGCCAACTGAAACAAGAGAACTCCCATGAAGGGACTGGAAGAGGGTTACCACTGACTCCTTGATCAAACACATGGGAGCACTGAGCTGTCCCTTCCCCCAAGTCCCAGACACACCTTAGCCAAGAGACCAGCCACTGGGGGGCTGGGTGCATGACTGGCCTGACACTTCTTGGTCTCCTCTTGTGTCTCCCTCCCCATATCCACATGTTTCCACACACCAGCCTCCTCTCAGGATCCCTTTGCTGTCTTTCAAATGTTCCTTCTTGCCAGGAGGTCTCAAAGTCAACCCTGGAACAAGTCTCTCATTACTTCTCCTTCCCGTACCCCTCACTGTCCCTCAGCTTGTCACCCTTTGTCTCCTGTTTCCTTGTTTCTGAGGTTCTAGAGAGCTCCTTGGATGCACCAGCCTGCCAATCTTTTCACTGTTGCATCCGCGAGACCTGGTATACAGTAAACACTCAATAAAAACTTGAGGGCATGGTGCCTGAGATGGCCAAGAAACACTCTGGGATGAGTGTGAAAACTTGACCTGGAGAGCAGAAGAGGCCACCGGCCCCCAGAGTAAGAGTGCCCCCTAGCACTAAGCCACAGCACTGAGGTGGGCCAGGTACTTGCGCCCAGCCCATGGAATTTCAACAACCCACACCCTCATCTAAAAGACAGGGAGATTCAAACTCAGAGAGGTTTAGTGGTCTCTCTTTGATGTACAGCCAAGATGTGCCAGAAATAGAATTCAAAATTCAGAAGTCTTCCCCAGCAGCTTGGCTGGTAGATCAGACCGTGTTGGGTCTGCAGCGCTGTGAGGGGTATGGACTTCATCTAACTAGCAGCAAATGGAAATTCAGGGAAGACCCTTCCAAGGAGCGACTGACATGGGCCCTTTGATAGGTGACATTCAAAACCTAGATCTTCAGATATGAAGAGAGTGTTCACCAAGGAGGATGTCCAGAAGACCAAAAGACATATGAACGAATATCCATTGTCACTCTAATGAACAGAGATGCAGGTTTAATGAACTACCACCTTTCACCCAGGAGGATGGCACATATTAGAAAAATCTCCAACAACAAATGCTAAAGATGACGCAGAGAAAGAGCAACACTATTACACAGTCCGTGGGAAAGGGAACTGGTGCAACCACTATGGAAAACAAACTGAATTTACCTTAAAAAGTAAAAATGGAAATATGATATGACCCAGCAACCCCACTCTTGGGATCTATGCAAAAAACATGAAACCATCAACACAAGAACTCATGTCCCACAAAGTCCACAGCAGCATCATTTATGACAGGACAAGGAAGCAACCTAAATGTCAATCCATGGACAAGTGGATCAAGAAGATGTGGTGTATACACACCGTGGAGTATTACACAGCATTAAGAAAGGATGGATGCAGCCATTTTCAACAAAATTGAGGGAACTTGAGAGAATAATGTGTAGCAAAGTCAGAACGCTAAACACAAATACTGGACATTCACATAGCAGGTAATTCAATAACATAAAACACCTTGAAAAAACAGTGGATGGCAATAAAGATCCTGAAGTTATGAGGGAAGGTGGAGGAAGGGACAAGGCATATACGGGAAGGTGATTAAAATATTTTAAAAAATAGATTTAGTTTTTCTGGGCTAGTCATATGTCTAAGGTTAGCAGTTTGTAAGTTTATGAAAACAGAAGTAGAATCATAGACTGTTGGTGGGGGGCAATCACTGGTGACGCCCACCCAGCCTAGGGCACCCACTCCCTAAAAGATGGGTATTCAAGGAAACTCCTTGTCAAACAGATACCTGGCATAGTTCAGTTCCTCTGAGAACTTCTAGAACCTTCTGGACATTCACTTTCCATGGAAACTAGAGGGATGGTTCTGATATCATGCAGTCAGTCACACTTCCCCTTTTTCAAACAAAGAAACTGAGGCCCTGAGTGCCAGGTCAGGCCTGGGATTCCCCCAGCCACAGGCAGGCAGTTCCAGACCCAGGTATCAGGTGTGGGTGGGGACCTGCGAGGATGGGGATGGGCAGGAGCAACGAGCTTTACTCTGTGAGGTCCCAAAAAGCTAAGCCAGGGCCAAGGGTGGAAGCCCAGACCGCAGCTTGCTTCTCCTCAGGGACTATGTGACCCGAAGATGATTGCAGGCAGCCCTGGGAGGGGTGAAGGTGCCGTGACCTGACCGGGGTCTCCAAATACTGCTGCTCAGTGGGGCGGCAGGGGATGCCAGCACCAGGGGCGGGGGACATCTTGAGGAGAGAGCCTAGAAAGTCCCCATGATCCAGAGAGCCCAAGAGACTGTCTGTGAGCCTCTTCTCACCGCCTCCGGGGTCTCTGGTCACTGGAGGTATAGGCCAAGTCAGGCAGCCTCATTTCCTCCCGCCAAGCTGTAGGCTGGGGTAAGACAGACTAAATAAAGTCTTCTCGCTGGTTATGTGGGCTTCCTCACCACGCCTAGCTCAGGGCCCATCCCCTAGAAGCACAAAGCATTCACCAAGCCCCAGTTGATGCTCATCCGAGCATGTCAGCAGCTGGACACTCTGCGTGTGTGTTTTAAAAGGAGAGCTTTAAATCCACCCTGCCCCTCTGGGGAAGCCAGAGCTCTGGGAGGACTGGGCAGTAGGCCTCATGGGGAGAGAGGACCAAAGAAGGCAAGAAGTCAGGATGCAGGGGGAGGGGGCAGTTTCCTGAGGAGACCCAGGCTGTAAAAGGAGTGAAGAGGCCTCTGTGACCGTGAGGGCAAGGCAGCCACTTAACTCTTCCCTGCCCAGTGGGAGGGAGGGCAGCGTGGGAGGGCAGTGGAATTTCCCAACACATTCCTGGGCACGGAGCCCGGGGAGCCCCCTCCCACTCCTGGCTCAGAGCAACCCAGGCCAGGCCTCAGGACTGAGTAGGACTGGGGGGCTTTGGGAAGGAGGGAGGGGGTGTAGTGAGTGGCAGGGGCTGAGGACAGCCCAGGGTTCTGGCTATGCTGATCTGGGTGATCTTAGCAGCCTTTCAGGACTCCTCTCACAAGAGAAGTTTCCACATCTATAAAGTGGGCGGAGGGAGAGAGACAGAAAGGGAGAGAGAGAGAGGAATGACAAAATTACTCTAAAGCCTCATCACATTCTAAGCGCTCCATAAACACATGCAAAAACCACAAACCAGCAATAATAACAAATAGGGGTTCAAATTGCCTCCTGGCCCTGGCCTTGCTTGCTTCCTGAGGACAAGTCACATCACCTGCCTGAGCCAGAGTCCTGCATCGGCAACGTGAGAATAATAACCTCCTCTTACAAACTGAAAAGTTCACCCACTGGGAAGTGGTTATTTTCAGGGTGGAAGAGCGGGGCCGAGGGGGTCAGAATGAGCAGCCAGAACTAGGCAGGAGGGCGAGGGTGTGTGCACACGTGTGCGTGCAGAGTACAAGAGGCCCCGGGAGCCTCGCCCCGTCCGCTGCCAAAGGGAAAAGGTTACTGGGCTCTTCCCATCCTCAACTGGGAGCCACACACAGTCCTGTTCAAACTTGTCTCAAGCCTCAGAGCTAGCAAGAGGCCAAGCAGGTATTCGAACTCAGATCCCGCTGCTGAGTCCACCATCCCTCCGTTGTTCCACAGGGACGGCCTCTGGACGGGTCTTGCCCAGGACCCCGAGAGTCATTCACTGCAGCCTCATTGCAGCTGGCACCAATAGTCCCCCAAACTCTGCGCAAACCAGCTTCCACCTCACACGTGTTTTCAAAATTTCCCGGTCTACGATGCCAAGCACGGATGGTAAGCACTGCCAGGGGCACCAGGGAGTTCTAGACTTCCCAGTAGGCCTGGGATGCTGAGTGTCCTAAATTCTCCGGCAACGAATACCTGTCTAGCCTAAAAAGTTTTTGGCAACCCTTTAAGGGAACACAAAACACGGAAGACTTTTTATAGTGCAGGTGGAGAAGCTAAAGCCGGTGGAGGGGAAGGAGCCCACGGCTCAGTGAGCCAGCGATGGACAAGAGGCTGGAGTTCGGCTCACCCCGCTCCCGCCCAGCGCACCATCATTGCCTTCACCTATAATGTACCACTTTTGCAACATTAACTGGTGTAGGTAGAACAGAGTGTAGAAGAAGTAAAAAAAGAAATATACTTGTATAAGGAAGCGAATGACCATGATGGCAGGAAAGCAGTGGGGTCAGGGAGTGGCAGGGAAGGAGCTGGTGGGAGAGTGCTGCAGCCAGTGCACTGTTGATGCCAACCACTAGGGGGCAGTGTCGGCCTCAGGCAGCTCCGTTGTGGGAAAAGAATGTTTAGAGGCCAGGGAGAGGAAGACTGGAGGACTCCATTCATTAATGTCTATCTTATTTGATTGACTTTCCTTAGAGATCTAATGCCACCAGTGCACCTAATGCCACAACTCCCTTGGTGTTACCTGTGGAGGAGGAAAGGGCAAATGACAGAAGGAGGTATAAAGAACAGGTGCAGATCAAAAGCCACACAGACCCAGAGCCCTGAATATTTCCTGGCTCTCATCCAAGGTCAAAGAAAGAGGACAGGGTATTACTAGCTGAAGCCTCCCGTGCAAGATACACCTCTCTACAGACTCAGCATCCCACTTTGTGAAAATGTGAACCTCCAGTGCCAGCTCCAGTTGATAAGGAAGGCTGCCTACAACACTGTTCAGCAAAGGATTCTGAGGCCTGTCCAGGTCCAGAGGGAAAAGCATGGTGATCGATTAGTTTTGTCTGCCAAGGGCACTGAAAAGTGGGGTTTCAGTTCTGGGGGTTTCAGTTCTCTCCTGCTGTCTCAGTCATGACTTTCTCCTTCCAGGAAGCCTCTGCATGCCTCACTCTACCCTCCAAGCAACCTGGGCAGTGGGCAGGCCAAGAATGATTGAAGGGAAGGAAATGAAGGCCCGCAGGCCAGGGAAATCATCCAAGTTTACACAATGAGTCAGTGAAGAACATGGGCCTGAGAACCTGGGTTCTAGCTCTCCTATTACTACTATGCCCTTTCCCCCCTACACACCCTCAGGGACACACAGAAATGCATTCTCAGCAGCCTCTTCCCCCATGGAACTAGAGTTATGTCTTCTGCTCTCAAACCCAGGGGAGGGGTGAGAATTCAGCCACGTGAGACAGTCAGGAGGCTGCGAAGGGCCTGCCCCTACACACCCCTCACACACCCCTCAGCTGCCCGTGAACACTCCCCATGAAAGGAAGAAAGAGGAGGCCAGTCCAGGCAGAGTTGTATAACCTGTTCATCCATCTGCAGCTCGCGACACCAGCTCTAGCTGCAGCTTCCAGTCTGACCGTGAGCATGTGCCACTCAGCAGGGTCACGGTCAAGTCTCAGACGAGCCCAGCTAGACCTCAGAAAATGCTGAGGTACAGTGACCACCCCAAAAGGCCACGCTAGACAGTGAGAGGAGCACTGGACTTGGAGTCCAAACTCTCTGCTTGTGGTTTCATCTCTGCCACTTTGGGATCTCGGCCAAGTCCCCATGCCACCTGGGGCCTGTTTCCTTTCTGTTCACTGAGGATGTGGCCTTCCCATCAGGCTGAGGCCTGTCCCATCAGAGCGATCCACAGGGATTGTGCATTGTGAACATGCAGGCCAGTCCCAGTCGCAGACCGGAGCAAATACGTGGGCATGGGGCCTGAAATCTGCAGGGTTCACCAAAGGACTCTGAGAGCTAGGGACTGAGCCCAGCCACTCAGCAAAAGGCACTCAGCTCCCAAACCTGCAGCCTCATCTCCATGACTCCCTCAGTCAGCCCTGAAGAATCCCGGCTACTTTCTGAGCTGGCTGATGGGGTTTCAACACAAAAGGGAGCGGCCACACTCAGTGCAGGGCAAAGGCAGGAGGAAGCGGGGTGAGGCTCAAGCCTCACTGCTGCTGGGGCTCAGGGGCCTGTATCATGCTGGCCCCTGCCCAGAGGATGTTGAGGACACAGGGAACCCAGGATGAGTGCCTGGGCTCCTCACAGGTGCTAAACTGGCGAGGCAGGGCTCAGATTTGAGCCTTGAAGCTCAACTACAGATGCCTTCTTTCTGACTGCAGGGGCATGGCAGGGCTGGCTGGGATCCTGGGGACACTCTGGAGAAACAGCAGCAGGGTACATGGTGAGGGTCCAGCACACTGGGCCCATCCTAGGTTGCCCAGTGCTGGAATTTCACCAGCCAGCCTGGCAACTGTGTCTTCCTCCTCCAGAAATAAATGTTCAGCTTCTTCCCCCAAAGGCCCAAACCCTTCTTTTCACGTGCTTTGGGCTCCAGTCTGGCCACCCCACCTGCCCCACCTCAGTCCATTCCCCAGATATCGGGGATCCCACCATGGTCGCAATCTGTGATCCACGTTGATTTAGATACTTGAGGGTTGTCTGTCTTCCCTGCCTACTTGCCCAGTGCTGGCAAACGGTGGGCACTCAATAAACATGTATTCAAGAAAGGAGTAAATCCACTGGGAGTAAAACACAGAGTTGAGAACAAGTGGTCCCAACAGCAAGGGCTGACAGAACCCCAAATGGACAGAGCTGGGTGGGGTAAATGGGGGACAGAGAGGCGGATAAGGAGGTTTCCCAGAAGAGGAGGAGTTAGGCTTTGTAGGGTGAGTAGGAGTTCAACAGTCATTTCAAGACTGGAACCTCACAAGGCAGAGTGGGATGGCCCTCTGTGGGGACGAGACTAGGAGCGGGTCAGGCTGGAGGAGAGCAGCAGGACAGGTACCAGGCTGGGGGCAGAGGGAGCCTCGCCCCACCACTGCCCACAGAGAAGAAGTCAGGGGTGTCTTTTCTCCAGTAGGCAGCAATGGCCAAGAAAGGTCAACACCATGTTCATTCATGTCCAGATCCTCCCAGAATATTCTGTGGATGGGACACCTGGGTACGGTGGCTTATCTCAGTCAGACTGGGGGAAGCCTGGTTGTTTCCTCTAGAGGCCATTCTGGTCTATAAGAAAAGGCACACGCTCTCAAATGGCTGCAGGAGCCACCACCACAGCAATCCCTGCCCAAGCCCACCACCGCCCAGCAGTTACCCCAAACACCAAGAAGATACACCCTGAAAGCACCACCCACTCTACACTGTTAACCACCACCAAGCCCGCGCCCGGCAGAAACAGCATCTGGCAGCACCGCCCTAGCTGGAGCCACTCACTGTTTAACACCAGCTATATTCGCGGTATGACATCAACACGGCCGCCGTGACACTAAACACCGCCACGACACCTCCGCACAGTCACAGCACAGTCATGCCGATACCCGCTGCTGCCTCGCCATACTTCCATCACCCAGCTGGCAAGTGCAGAAAACACAGCCAAGGCCACTACGACAGCACACAGCTCCACAGCCAAGTCCACCCCACCAAGTGCCCAACAGCACCAATCCTGCACCCCTTAACAGCCAGCACGGCACAAGCCATCCCAACACTTCACCATCCATCAACATCACAGCCGCATCTCTACAAAACACCTATTCAGCAACACGGCACAACCACCAGCCTGCCCAGCAACTAGGCAAGGCCGCACCAGCAAAGTGACCAGAACAAATTGACATCTAGTTTGTGGCTAGACCCAACTTCTAGCACCTGTGCTCACTTACCCAAGGGTCATGGGGCACCCCAACCCAGAGCAGATGAGAGTGGGCTCACCACCCCTCCTGCTTCCTGACACACCTGCTCCTGACCCTGCACTGCACCACGTGTGCCCTGACCCCATGCAACAGACACGGCTGATGGGGATTTGCACAGCAATCTGGTTCCCCAACACAACACTCCTCTAGGGACCCCAGGGACCTGCCTTCTCTACCCTCTACCACACCCCAATGTTCTCAGTCTCTTTCCACCCAGCGCATTCTCCAGATACACATTCCTGTCAGCTACCCTGGCTGACATTCTGGGAGGAAACTATTGTTTCAAAAACTCCCAGGGGATCTGAGGCCAACCCAACACCCCGAGGATTCCTGAAGTAGAGCCCCACACCAGCACCGAGGGAGAAAATTGCCCTTCACCCTCTGTGCCCCAGCTGACCTTGGTGTAGCTGAGGAAGGAAAGGCCTAAGGCCCACCAGTGGCAGCACCGGTCACCCAGGAGACCTTGGGGGTACCTCCGTGTCCCCGTCTGCAGAATGGGTTCAACCATCCATCATGTCAATCCTGTTGAGCACCCCCTGCAGAGCAAAACTCCTTCAAAAAAGCAGGCAGGACACTGGCTGTGGGGTTTGAGGACATATTATTAGGATTTGTTAGTTTGCTAGGGCTGCCACAACAAAACACTACAGACTAGCTGGCTTACCAGGAGAAGTGTATTTTCTCGCAGCTCTGAAGGCCAGGGGTTCAGGGTCAAGGTGTCAGCAGGCTGGTTTCCGCTGAGGCCTCTTTTCTTGGCTTATACACAGCCACCTCCTCTCTTGGTGTCCTCATATGGTCTCTTCTAAGCATGGAGAGGGGCTCTGACTCTGTCTTTAAGGACACCAGTCCTGTGGGATTAGGCCCTATCTTCATCACCTCACTTAACCTTATTTACTGCCTGAAAGGCCCAATCTCTAAATAGTCATATTGAGGGTCAGGGCTTCAACACATGAGCTCAGGGGGATGCAATTCAGTCCCTAACAGAGGGAAAGTCTCAGGCTGGCACCCAGAGGTTTGGTGGTGGGGGGGTGGGGAGGAGAGGAGCTAGGATGGAACCCTTCACCTACTGAGCCCATTTCCTTGCTGGAATCTGGGATGATGACACTTCACTGGGTTTAAAGTCACTGAGGATTAAAACGAGAATGTAAACCAGATGAAAAGCTGGAGCCTGCTTGTAAAGCTGACTCAGTGACGTCACACTGGTGGTATAAAACGGGCCACAGTAGGGAAACGTGCATTGTGGAAACTGGCAAGCCTGAAACTCAGGACTTCACTCCCTCACCAGAGTCAGCTGTTACGATTTACCAGCACACCGCTGGATGTCAGGTAGAGTAAGCACAGCTTTTTATTCCATTCTGCCAGAGAGGTAAGCAGAAAGAACAAGGAAAAAGGAATGTAGCTTGCTACATCTTTCTATGCAAAACTGGCAAAGGAAAGGAAAGCACTTCTCTTGCTGTGATTTATGCAGCACACACTGCAACATGAAAGGTGGTTCCCATTAATTACCATGCCAATGTCTCGATTCTTTTCCATTCCCCCAAATCTGACTTTACAGATCCAAGACCACAGCCACTCAGTTTTCACCTCCATGCCTCTGCCCACACTCCAGCCTAGAGTGTTCCTATAGTGTCCCAAGGGCCCCTGGGACTAGGTCAACCACGGCCAGGTTCTGTGCTCTGTATTTCAGAGGCATCACACCAGCCCTCCTCCAGCAGTGCTCCTCTGGACCATAATGCCCTGTCTCAATGCCCTGTACCCACTTCCAGGGTCTGTGCAGGCCTCTCCAAGGGTCCCTTAACCAAGGATGACAGATCAGAATGTGGACACTCTCCAAGGCCCAAGGACTGGCCAAGCGGCAGTCAATGCAGGAGAAATGGAGGCTGGAGGTTAGCCATGCAGGTAGGGGCACCCCCAGGCATACGCACAAGGCTTCCACCAAGCAGTTGGGGCCCTCCATTTGCACTCTTGCCCTGATCTCAACAAACCAGCCATCCAAATCCCTCAGAATTCTTTTTTTTTTTTAAGTTTTTTTTTTTTTATTTATACAAGAGCCAGGGTACAGGCCAAATTCACGGGAGGGTGAGAGGATTCACCAGAGACAGAGTGGGGAACAGAACAGGCAGAATGACGAAATACACTGCTGAGGGGAGCAGCCGGCGAGACAGGAGAGGTCTGCTTGACATGTGGGTTGCTCCGAGGCCGGCGGGGATAGAATCGGCACTGCAGAGGCTGCTGACAGCTTCACAGTGCTGCGCTCAACCGCCAGTGCCACCAGGGAGGGCCGTCCCTCAGAATTCTAAAACAGGAAATTCAGTGATGATGACCCCTCAAAGCCCACGGTCCTCTTCTCTTCCCAAGTGGCCCCTAACATAAGCCATAGCAGCCTACCCCTATAATTCCTTTTTTTTTTTTTAAAGATTTATTTGTTTGTTTGTTTGTTTATTTATTTATACAAGCACTGGGTACAGTCAGAAGCACGGGAGGGTGAGAGAATTCACCAGAGCCAGAGCGGGGAGCAGAGCAGGCAGAAGGACCGAAGTACACTGCTGAGGGGAGCAGCGGGCGGCAGGAGAGGTCTGCGCGCCTTGCAGGACCCTCCTCCAGTGGCCGGGGAGCAGTCGGGGATCGAACCGGCACCGCAGAGGCTGCGGGTAGCTTTGCAACCCAGCACTCAACCGCTACTCCACCGGGGAGGCCCTACCCCTATAATTCTTACCACATTTAATCAATTAAGTTCTTGGGACTGCTTTGGTGTTACTCAAGATTTCATGCTGTTGCAATAGACCTTGCATTTCTTCAGTATTTCTCCCCATTCAGAAGCCATACCGAGGAAGAAGGCAGGCACCCCCATAGCCCTGAGAGAGGTTAGGTGCAGCTGAGGGGGAACCAAGCTGTCACACAGCTGCAGGGGCTCTGGAGATAATGGAGTTCACCCCTGCAGCAAGCAATGCTCCCCAAAGATGTCCACATCCTAATGTGCTGACTGTATTGTAGGAATGGCAAAAGGGATTCTGAAGATATAATTGAAGTCCTTGAGATGGGAAGATTATCCTGAATTACTTGGGAGAGTCCAGTGAGTCAAAGGAGGGAGGCAGGAAGGTCAGACCCAACAAAGGGAGATGCAATAAATGAAGCAGAAATCAGAACCAACCCCTGTCAGGAATGTGGATGACCTGCAGAGGTAAGAGAAGCCAAGAGTTGGATCCTGTCTTGAAGCCCCTAGAAGGGGCACACAGCCCAGGCGGTATCTTGATTTATGCCCAACGAGTCCTATTTTGGATTTCTGGCCTACAGAAGTGTAAAATAATCCATTTGTGTTGTTTTAAGCCATTGATTTTGCTCCAATTTGTTCCAGCAGTAACAGGAAGCTAATACCACTCCCATTCAACACATAAGAATCTGAATCCCAAAGAAAAAGTTGCGGGGGGTCAATTGTGAGGAAACCCCCACTGGCACCCACTGAGAGGTGAGGTGCATCCCCGCCCCCACCATGGGCTACTGGTCTGATGAAGAACCCACCTCTCCTGCAGTTTATCCTCGGGCCATCTTGATTTATTATTTGTAAGAGGGAAACCTAAGAAGTTATGTACAGGAATATAAACAAGTGCAA